ATGTTTTTTGATGCAAATGCACATCAAATACGTCTAATTGCATATGTGTTGTTGTATGTCTGTATACGTATGCATTTTGAGTAACAGGATTAGGGTATGATGAGCACAGTTTTAATACTCTTGTTAGCTCAGACTATGCACTAATATATCAGATGACTTTCCAAATACACTTTTTGATGACTATTGGTGGGTTACAATGGAGTCTGAGAAGGCTAATTTTCCTTTGAGGACTCATTAGTGCGTGGGGAATGTGGTTGGCATAAGGCAGCCTGCTGTCTCTGAATGGCTTATTAACTGTACTCTGACTCTTATGTGGAAAAGAGAGCCTATCCTCTAAATACACCATCATTCTGCTCCTCTACCCCACTAGCTCAGCAATGGAGCCTTCATTTGCTTTGTTGCCTACTAGAAAGCATTTCTGAAAACACCAGGGGTGCAAAAAGAGGATGTGCAACATATGCGACTCCACATGAGGCAGGATGCCAAAGTCATAGATGTTTTTTTTTGTTGCTTTTTTTAAATAACCTAAAAATAACTCAAGGTACAATTTTACATTTGCACAGTTTGTTGGACACTTTCATACAAAGCGACTTACAGTGCATTCAAGGTTTACGTTTTCCTGGTATGTGTGTTCACTAGGACTCAGACCCATGACCTTGACATTGCAAACACCATGCCGGATTGGTAAACTAAGACATTTTTTTATCAATAATAAGGGAAAATTGTATTTTTGCTTTAGTTTTTTTTTTCTAAAGATGCCTGTAGCTTTTTCTGCAAAAAGTGGATATTTTGAATTATGAACAAGCGCAAAGAAATTTAGTGAAAACTGTATGTTGATGCCAACATTTTTTTTCAGAACAGCTCAACAGTCTGCTAACTACTTGACAAAATGTAACAACAGCTGACAAGTCAATGTGAACTGTTAATTTACAGTGTGCATCTGACTATGGAAAGCTGGAAGGGCTAAACCAGAGTTTATATTGCATGAATTTAGCATTACATCACTTGTTCACAAGTGGATCCTCTGCAGCGAATGGGTGCCATCAGAATGAGAGTCCAAACATCTGATAAAAACATCACAGTAATCCACAAGTAATCCACACGTCTCCACAAGACAGGAGTCATGTGGATTACTTGTGGATTATTGTGATGTTTTAATCAACTGTTTGGACTCTCACTCTGACGGCACCCATTCACTTATCTACATCTTGGATGGCCTGAGAGTGGGTAAATTTTAAGCAAATTTTTTTTTTGGGTGAACTATTCCTTTAACTAAGCATTTTATATTATGTAGAGTGAGAAAAATGCACTGAAGGTTAATATTTTTTTTACTTGTGGATTATTGTGATGTTTTAATCAACTGTTTGGACTCTCACTCTGACGGCACCCATTCACTTATCTACATCTTGGATGGCCTGAGAGTGGGTAAATTTTAAGCACATTTTTTTTTTGGGTGAACTATTCCTTTAACTAAGCATTTTATATTATGTAGAGTGAGAAAAATGCACTGAAGGTTAATATTTTTAGTTTTTGCTCCAGTAATAATAAAAGATTTACTTTTATTAAATAAAATGAATGTTTCAGCAGGTATTATAAAATGTTTTTGTAGTGTAACAATTTCCCTTTTTGTCATATATTATAATAATATTCAATATTGCAGAGAATGGCTAAAATTACATTAAAAGTTCCACACTTTAATATAATCTTTGATATTTGACATAATTTCCAGCGTTCAAAAGCCTTAAACAGCTGTGTTGATTGCCTGTGGCTGGTGGGCGCAAACATTGATGTTACATACTCCTCAATAAATGGGTAGTTGGCGCCTGGAAAAAACAGTGGGCGTTTTGTGTCTGTGTTTGACTTTTGTATCTGACTATGGAGTCTATAACACTCCAACTAATTCAAAGCTTTTGTGTGTGTTTCTGTATGCATTTATGTCACACTTTTTGCTGGCATTTCCCGTTATCTATTTAATGACAGCATGCAATGTAATTGCCCTCACTGGAGCAGAACTCAAAGAGGTTCATGGGGGTTCTCATCTCACTTGCTGAAGGGAACCATTGTGTTTATTTGTTCTGCACATCATTATCCCGGGGCTTAATTGATTGTCTTATTGAACATGGCTTTGGGTTCCTTTATTTATCCAGTGTACCACACTCTTAAAGATAAGGGTAGCTTATCATTCTTACTCATGGAGGTTCACGATGAATAACTAGAAATGTTGTAACACTGTGCAACCAGGTTAATTGCACTATTAAAATAACATACAGTTCGAAGTGGAAATTATCAAGTGATTTTTTCAGTTGTACACCTTAGGCTGTAAGTGGAAAGTTAAAGAAAATAACAAATGCTATCAGTGTATTGGGGATGTATCATGAAACATTTCCATTCATCTCTTGGGATATAAAAAGAGTTCAGTACTGTTAAATACAAGTAATGCATTGCAAATAGCAGTAGTGAGATTATGATTATGATTTCAATTTTTCCTTTCTCTTTGGAGTGTTACAAGCTCTTGGTGCATAAAGAAGATCTGTAAAGTTGCAAAGACTAAAGTCTCAAATCCAAAGAGATATTCTTTATAAAGTTAAGAGTCAGCCAAGGCTACCTAAAATGGCTCGTTCTAACATGCCCCCACATGCCTACGTCACTATGTTTTTTTTTTTTTTAACAAATATATTTATCATATCAGAATTACTATAGTTTTGAAAAAAAAAAAGTTTATTTTGAGTAAATTTGCCTTTTTAATGTAGCTTTATGTCAATATTCTGTTATTATTTTTAGTCATTGTCTGCTATTATTTTTTGGTAAGTACAGTATTTATTTAGTTTGGGAGTCAAGATTTTTTATTAGTTACCAAAAATTATTTCATTTGTTTTTTATTTGAATAATAGTGCTGTACCATACCTGCTCAATTTTTTTTCTTAAAGAAAATGTAAAAGTGGTTTCTAGGTAGTTGCTTATTGGTTCAATTTGGTAATTCCGTTATTAATATTTTTTTAATCCTTCTGATATGACTTGCATCTCCGAAGTCTAAAGGATTTTTTTTCTCATCTGCCAGGTGAAAACTATGAGTCATAGTTGCTTGGGAATATAATACAACGCCTCTCCTCAACAAACTACATGATTGGCAGTGTCTGTTATTTCTGTAGTTCATCTGCTTTAGGGTGAGTTATGCGGCAAACTTTAATACTTGGGTAAGTAGTCAAAAGTACTACAGAAGATACATATTTAAAGGTGCAGTGCTGCTATGTGTTTCAGTTTGAGGTCACACTTGAATGATGTCTTACTGTGTACAATGCATCGAAGGGCAAGTGTAACCTCTGTACCAGATGATAAATTGCACTTATCTCATCTTCCATAGCACAAAGGATTGGTGTTTTATTAATCGAGAATCATTAGATTGCTGTTAATGGAAAGTGCTTTTCTATCTCAACTCCTAATGAATTGACTCCATGATGCTGCAGTTGTGGAGCTTCTGTTAACGTGGTGTAATTCTAGACCTTAATGGACCATTATGCCACTATCGGGATCATTTGCTGTTTTTTTATGCCTTTGTCTTTTCTTACTCTACAGAAAACGAAAGCAGCTCCTTTGTCCATAACCTCTCTTAATGTCCGAAAAGGACAAAAGGTCCAAAAGCTTCAACTGTATGATCTGGTTTATGTTTAGAATAATGCAGATCCCCATATAGACAAAGATCAATAAGGATGCAAATGGAAAAAAAACAGAGCTTTTTCACCAAAAGATTTATGGCCCTGATAAGCGTACTCTCTAGACAAAGTCTGTAAAATTGCTAGAAAAATATTGTCTTAAAAATTGTACTCTTCAAATTTGCTTGTGACACATTTTGGAGTTTGGTGACGCTTTTTTTTTTGTTTTGTTTTTATTTAGTCTTTAAAAAAAGCTCTTCTCTGAGGAAATTGCAACAAAAGTGCTAATTGGTATCCAGTTCCTGCAAAAACTGTCAGCAGATGTTCCAATAATTCCATCAGTGATTGTGTTTTTAGAAGAACATTTAGATTGTTGAGAACAATAATATATTTGAGTTTTTTTTATAGAGTGCACAGACCCATTTTAATTATGCTGTGTGGAACAATACATTTGCATGCATATGCACTGTTAGAAGTTGCATATCAGTATCCCCAGTATCCAGTAAACCGTTCACCCCCACAAATATCTGTTAGAAGTTGCATATCAGTATCATAAATAGTTCACCCAAAAATTGAAATTTTTTATAAATTTACTCATCGTTTATCCAAGAAATTTTGCATTACATGACATGCTCACCAGTGAATCCTCTTTAGTGAATGGGAATTAAAAAATCACAATAATTCGTAAGTAATCCATATGACTCCAGTCCATCAATTAACGTCTTGTGAAGTGAATATCTGTGTTTATAATAAACAAATCCATCAAGACATCTGTATCTTCAAACTATTGCTTCCAGCTAAAAATGAGAGGCCTCTGTCCATAATATTGCTTCCTGCAGTTAGATGGTCATCTCGTGTGCATCAGGAGAAAAATATGCAAAGAGCAAGCTGTTGCGAAAACAAGCAGTTGTTACAAACAAAAACAGTTATGTATGGTAGACCGCTATTCTCTTTATAAGACATTAATTGGTCAAGACATTAACTGATGGACTGGAGTCGTGTGGATTACTTGTGGACCATTGTGATTTATTTTTTTTTATCAGCTGTTCGGGCTCTAATTTTGACGGCACCCATTCACTGCAGAGGATCCATTGGTGAGCAAGTGATAATGCTGGATGACACGATCATCTTCCGGTTTTAGTTCATGCAGCTTGAGTCTTATGAATCAAATATTAAGATATTCTGAATTTCATGTAAATTTTTTTTAGTTAAAAATTTCCCTCTAATTTGTAATGGAGGAATATTAACTAAGAAATATTCACTTTCACAAGCAGTCTCAGGCTTTTGGTCCCCACTGTACTTTTGTATTTATTTTTTGCCTGCTTGTTTCATCTTGTTTACTCGGTCTCAGAAGTTTATTTGACTGATGGAACTGAGAAGAGACAGCAGCAGAAGCCTTTCTCTGATCTCTCCAGGTGATTATCTGGAGATTAGATTATGATGAAAATGTTGCACCTTCTAATTTAAATATTAATTTAATCTGTCATTTCCTGCAGAGTGTGCTATCAGAAGAATGCAGCACAATTTGAAATGCCCGAAATTCTTTCCCTCAGCTTTCTGATTGCCCATACTGAGCACTTGACTCTAAAGGGAGATTAGTTCATGGAGATGGGAAAACATGAATTTAATTGCTTTTCAAAGAGTATGCAAAGCATGTTTATTATAAAGCTGAAAGCTAACTCCTCCTTAGTACACATCTCCTCTCCGCCAGCATTCCAAAGTCTGCTTGTGTTCCTAAAATAAATTCCGTATGCTTCAGGCTGAAAGGCCCCGAAGACACACGATGCACCTCTCAGTTCCTCGCAATTGATCAAAACAGCAAACACTCCTTTATCTCACTCCCGCAACACACAAGCCAAATCTAACAGAAGAAAACACCAGCAATGCACCATGCGAGAAAGCAAATAAACTAATCACAGTTATGTTAGTCAGGATCTTGGCGTAAAATGGTAGATCTCACCACCAAGTGTGACGAGAACTTGCGTGAAGAGGGGATTTTTAACTGTCACAGGCTTTTGACCGCAGTGCGCTTCTCTTTTCAAACATGCTGTGAAAAGTGCTGGAGCTGGATGTGTCGACTACTGCTGACTGACTCAGCTCCCTCCTACATATGCCAGCAGGTACGGCAGCGCTCTCTGTCTATTTGTGTCACCATCTTTTGACTTCCTGTTTTAATTCACTCGCTTGTGCCTGGCAAACTTGTCTCTCGCTGTTTTTGTGAGCATTTGTGCACTTCTGTCTCTTTTGTGGTGTGTATTTGTGGCTTATAGTTTTCTCTTCCATTCCCACTCTCGAAACTCTTTACAGAAGCAACTTTGGATTTTAGTTGTACAATGCTTGTTCTAAAGGTTGGATACCTTGAAATTGAATCTAAAAACCTTTCACTTTCATTCCTCATACACGCATCCTTTCTCCTTTATGACACCCTGTGATCCTGAGGGCATGATGGGATATTTTAAAATTGAGATCTCACATTGAGATGTTAAATCATAGCCTGGGAGAAGAGCTCATCTGAGAGCAGGTTTTGTTTTTTACGGTTCCAGTGTTTCACTCTGCTTTAAAAAAAACAACAACTAAAAGCTTTAACTAGCCCTTTTTGTAAAACCAGCAAAGCAGACCAGGTTGGGAGAACAGCCAAGACTGGGAAACTGGTATTATGTTAATTTGACAGTAGTTCCTCTCAAACTGCAGTACATCTATTCATGAGAGAGACACATTTTTTATACAGTAAAATAACCCTGTCACCGTTTCTGTGGGAATGACCTTCATAGCGATACAGAAATCGTCTGCTCTGTGCACGGTATTGTTGCTATCAATATTAGTATTTAGACTCTTTAGTCACATGTAAACATGCATGAATGAATGTCATTGCATTAGATGACAAAACAGCATTTGCTTTCAAGTAGGATATTTCACAGAAAGTTTGTTGGAAGGATTTTAAAATATTTTTGACAGAAGTCATCTCTGGCTGTTTACTTGATCAAAGTAAATACAGTAATACGTTGAATCATTATTATTATTATCATTATTATTATTTAAAATATATATTTTTTCTATTTTAATATAAGATGTAATTTATTCCTGTTATGATAAAGCTGAATTTTCAGCAGTCATTACTCCAGTCTTCAGTTTCACACGATCCTTCGGAAACCATTGTAATACACTGATTTGCTGCTCAAGAAACATTCATATTATCAGTTTTGAAGACAGTTGTGCTACTCATTTTTATATTTTTGACAGAAGTCATCTCTGGCTGTTTACTTGATCAAAGTAAATACAGTAATACGTTGAATCATTATTATTATTATCATTATTATTATTTAAAATATATATTTTTTCTATTTTAATATAAGATGTAATTTATTCCTGTTATGATAAAGCTGAATTTTCAGCAGTCATTACTCCAGTCTTCAGTTTCACACGATCCTTCGGAAACCGTTGTAATACACTGATTTGCTGCTCAAGAAACATTCATATTATCAGTTTTGAAGACAGTTGTGCTACTCATTTTTATTTTTTTTGTGGAAATGTGAAACATTTCTAAATAACAGCATGTTTGAAAAAGATGTATAAGCAATAATTTCTTTAAATAAATAAATAAAATGCATTTTGCTGACCCCAAAGTAGTTGAACCTTAAAGTATACAACATAACAATAAATATACTGTTCATTTAAATCAAGGACATTTTCTGATTGTCGCATGTTAATTGAATGTGTACATAGTTATTATGAAAAACAAATTAAAAGTAATAGCAGGGTTACGTTAGTTCTGAGAAAAGGTCTAGTATGGACACTCTTAAAAATAAAGGTGCTTTAAATGTTCTTCACAGCGATGCCATAGAAGAACCATTTTTGGTTCCACAAAGAATCATTCGGTCAAAGGTTCTTTAAAGAACCTTTGACCGAATGATTCTTTGTGGAACCAAAAATGGTTCTTCTATGGCATCGCTGTGAAGAACATTTAAAGCACCTTTATTTTTAAGAGTGTAACAACTAATTTTATTTGCATATGCCTCTTGCTTGATGTTTTTTAAAATAGTAATTTAATTATTTATTTTATCTGGCTTAAGTGTCCAAATGCAGTATTTTTTGAAACTCTTATAGGTAGCAAAAGCTACAAGTCACTTGAGCTATTCGTTTGATCAAATGAAATGGACTGTGGCTAAACTACAATGCTACTAACAAAGAGACACTGAAGATATTTAAGGGGGAAATACCTTCATCAACATGAGAGCTGAACAGGTCGCCTACTCGCCCTAGCACTGTGAAGACCACCTTATACAGAAAACATTCTTCCAATTGTCCTTTCCCCCTCTTCTCTTCGCTGCTGTATCTAGAGCCGTTGTTTTCATAAAGGACAGAACCTATGGCATTGAAACATTTGTATTCGCTAAAGAGATGCTGAACAATTTCAAATAGAGTTCTAGTAGAAAGCTCATCACTGCAGTGTCCTTGACTTGTTGATATGTTTGAGAGATGTACTGCACTTCCAACAGGAATAAATTATTGGATGATGAACTCTGGGGCTGTCAGAGAGAGACAAGCAAATAACTAAGATAACCCTCATGCACAGCCATGCAGAGAAATAGTTTGTTGTCTGTTATCTTAATAATGTCTACACCTGAATTGATTTAGAAACGAAAGGAGACATCCCGTCAACACGCTGAAGACGCTCGCGGATAACTCAACTCATGCTGAGCGAATGTGACTTTACTAGACAGCAGACAGACAGTCTGTATTCTTTCAAAGGCTTCTTCTGTAACTTGTGTTATGTTCTAACCTGTTCCTTTTTGAGTAGAATGTCACCCTCATTTCCTTTCATAAGTGTTAAACTGCATGGTTTCTCCAGCCCAGCTGTTCTCCCGTGTCGCATATGCTAAACTGCTCTGGTTTAATTGTAATGAGGCGGAGGGAGAGAGAAAAGTAAGGGTTATAATCATTACATAGACCCACTTCTCTATAGTGTAATTTTAGCTATGCTCAGAGGGAACATTGATTGCGTTATTCCTAGGATGTTATGTATCGCAGTTACAAATCCCTTTCGTACAATCATAATCTTAATTGCAGTATATGGAATTGACCAAAAGCCATAGGATAAACATACAGAAAAAAGTCAGAACAGTGCCCACAATTTTATTTTATAAGTATACATTTTTAAGAATGATAAGCAATTATGCTTTAGAGCTGTTATACGTGTGCCTTTCTTTGTGGTTTTATTGACATACGTATCCATTGGCATAGCTGTATGCCTACATTTACATAAATAACATACTGTATGAATGACAGTATTTCTTGTACTATTTTGAGACTGAAGTCTTAGAATGTCAGTTGATAATGGTTCCTTTCATTTCAGAATCAGTGGGAGAACTAAAAACAGCATGTGAATTCAAAGTCATGTGGATGAAGGACAAGATGTCAGTGAGAAAAAAACATTTGTGCATGATGGTATAAAATTCTACTTCAAACATCCCCCCCCCCCCCCCCCCCCCCCCCCCCCGTTTATTTTTTCACTTTTTGTAAGGGTATAATCATACTTAACTGACAACACAGAAAATATAAACATCTTTTAAGGTTTTTGGGATTGTTTAGTTAGAAAATTGTCATTGTTTACTCATGTTGTTCCAAACCTGTATGATACTCTGTCTTCAGTGGAAAAAAATGTGAATGTTTGAAGACACTTTTTTTTCTTCAATATAATAAATATTAATGCTTCAAAATGACTTGTGCGCTGTATCCCACATCTTTTAAATTCATATGATAGCTTAAAAGGATTCATGTACAGGTATGAGTCAGATGCCACTATGTTTATTATAACCTCTAATGAATGTGTAATGTAGCAACTTTTGGTCTGTTCCTTACAATAAGCTATTGTATGGCTTCGGAAGACTTGTAATGTAGTCCACACGAGCCACTTTTATGGTACTTTTTTCAAATATTTTGGAGCTTGACAGCCTCAATCCTCATTCACTTTCATTACATGGAAAAGAGTAGGTAGGAAATTCACCTATAAACTCAACATTTTGTGTTCCATGGAAGATAGAAAGTCATACGGTCTGGAAAGACGTGGGGGTGAGTGCAAGATGACAGAATTTTCATTTTTAGGTGAACTACCACTTTAATCTTCAGGGCCTTTTGAGAAATTCTCTTTTTCACTTCTACCTTTTCCAATGCTCTCATGTGTGGTGAGTCAGTGAGATATACGTGCAATATCCTGTGAGCTGTCTGGTTTCACCACCCATCACCTACAGACCTTAAAAGCTTCTCTCAGCTTTCCCGAACGCATTCAAGTAACCAACCATGAACAAAGTGTCAAACTGTGTATGAATTCAATATGAAATCCCACCTACCATGCATTAGTTCTATATGCATAGTTTACATGGAGCTGGTGACACTGTATAATAATGCATTTTAACTTCTGTACTTGGGAAAAAGTACCAGGCGTGTAGGAACGGCCATGAGCCAAGTGTACAACCTAGTAATTTCAAAGAAAGTATTGTAGCTGCCTAAGAATTAATGTAGCTATTCATAAGTGTTGCTTAAAAGCCAATGAGCAATTTAACAGTGTGCTACTTTTAGATGCACCTGTGGGATTCATGTACACACTTGAGTGCATTTAGCATTTGCATGAAATATAAAATACTCGCATTGCTGGTGTTCTGTTTCATGTTCTTGTATGGATTTGGCCTCAGGCGGTCTGTCACACTGCACTTTGATATTTGAAAATTTTTGTTGGCTAGTAGTGTACGTTATTAAAGCAGATTCCAAAAGTCTGAGACCAAATTGAATATCTGATTCAAAATCTCATATAAACCTGAAAATATTGAGAACAATTGAATACCAAGAACGAAAGATATAAAATGAAGAAATATTTAAGATTCTATACCATTTTTAGGTAAATACACAATTTGTGACACTGATCATGTGAACATATTTGTATCAATGGTTAAATGTTTAGTTGAAACTCAAGATGTTCTTTGGATAATCTCAAATCATGCTGGAGAACATAATCTTGTATGTAATGTAATTTTATATCCCATAATACACTCTATAATGTATAGATATACCTGTAATTAAAATATTGTAGTGTGTGTAGAAATATATTTGACCACCATGTTGTCATGACAAGACATCAAGTTGTCCAAAAATCCACAAAAAGTAAGATGTTTTCAGTTAACAGTTTTTTTTCTTCTTGTGTATCATCACACATATTTTCATATATGTAATGTGCAACTAGGCAAACAAAGTCAGATAACATTGAGTATGTATTCAGCTTTGTGTAAACCCATGCCCTAATTCATGAAAAAGAAATTAATTGAGTGTTTTAGCTATATTATGTAAAAACACAGTGTAGTTTTTGGCTTCATTGCTACATATATATGCGTTTTGCAGTGTGTATGTTTCCATATATTTTTGCTTTATGCAGGAAAATGGACAAAACAAATGCAAAGACATCCTGAATAATTTCCCCCACTCAAATCAAATTATGCTGATAAATTAGATGTGGTGATAAATTAGTGTTCTCAGACTTTTGGTTACTATAGGTGATAGTTGTTCAAATAGTCTGCACGAAGCTTTGGACCATGTGCCCATTGATTGTTTAATCATGCTTTTTCATTAATTTAATCAGCCAATTGCAATCAACCAATGCGAGTAACATACACATATGCTGTGTGTAAACTGCTAACGCTCCAAAACACTGTGATGATAGTTTTTAACTGCAGAGATGCTTCTTATCCTTTAATCTACACTCTCAAGTGAGTGAACCAGTACTTGCAGAAGGTAAGTTCTTCTGAGGCTCACGTCTGTTGTTTGTATTCATCTCATAGTCTGCAGTCTGTGTGCTTTCATGCGCTTAGAAATGGTTTGTTTCTCCTTCATTTTCATCGCTTCTGCCCTGGACGCTCCCAACCCCGTAGCTCCTGGAGCGAAGCTGAAAAGACACACATCCAAGCATAGAATATATATGACAGGAGAAAAGGGGGGAGATTATCAGTAAATGATATTTTCATGGGCAGTCATAATTCAGCCTGCATTTGCAGACATTTGAATAAACACCATAAATTCAGGCAGCAGCGGCTCTTTTCTGGCGGTAATAAAAAGTAAAATGAATTGTGGGGAGGTTTTAATGCGTGGCGTGTCTGATGTGGAGTGATAGGCATCTGCTGGGGCACGAGGAGCGGGGAGAAACGGATTGGGGGAGGGTGTTGAACCGCTCATGGGGCATAGAACTCCATTTCACTTGTAGATTTCTCTCGTCTTTTCATTTCGCCATTGCTCACCATCCTGCTTGACATAGGTGGCAATAACAAAGGGCTTACAGGTGAGGCTATATACTGCCCTCCACCACAGGAAGGGAGATAGGTTCATGTTTGACAGGGGCCACGGACCCCAACAACCTGCAATACTAAATCTACTCTTAGAGTGACTGAGAGAGTATGAGAAAGGCAGAGATGGATTGACTGTCACTGTCAGGCTTGTTTATGTATTTGCTTGATGGTATGGCTAGGAGGTATGGCATTTATATACAGTAGCTTAGTATATTTATATGTATATATCATATAGCTTATCTTGCAATTTGCATTTATTAATTTACAATAGTGCCTTTAATGTGAAAAGGGATATGTAGTTTATTTATTCAGCCAAAAATAGCCATTACCAAATGGCATTTATTTGATTGAAAGTAAAGTAAAACACAGATATTGTGAAAAATTATAAAAAAAATAATAATACATTTATTTTTATATAGCGCCTTTAAAAATTAATTGTCAAAGCGCTTTACACTAAAGAGGATACAAAGTTAAAAAAAAAAGAAAGTAGAGCGGTAACAATAAAAACACATCAAAAACAATGTAAGAGAAAAACAATACCCCTCCCCCCAACACCTTACAAATTACAGATTAAGCAATTATCTTTAAACACATTAAAAGATTCTGCATGTTTAATATTATAGGGGAGAGAGTTCCAGAGTTTTGGAGCAAGGGAGGAAAATGCCCGGTCACTAGGGCTGTGAATATTTGGGTAAACAGCAAATCGATTTGATTCACGATTCATAAGGTTTTGACTCGATTCAAGAACGATTTTTGCTAATTCAGAACGATTCAATTTGGTTCACAAATAAATTGGATGTGATTCGATTAACAATTCGATTCTGCATTCTTTAAGTGCATTCACAGGATTATTTAAATGCTTCACCTAAATTCTATATTTGCTTAGTCAGAAGGCAAATTACACGGCCCAAATAAAAAATCCTCTTTTGTCCATTGTTAGATGTTAGTTTAATGATGCTATGGCAAGACATATGGCATATGAATTTACACTATAAAAACGTAATATATTTTAAACACATTTATTTCAAACCAAGTATAGTTCAAATCTATTACTATATTTACTGGCATATATTGCTCAAGACTTACTGATATAAAAATTATAACTAAACTTTATTTGGAGTACTACTTGTGCACAATGCACATTTCTTAATATTAAGTCTAAAATGTGTTTTAATGTCACTATTGATGATAATTATGATCTTTGAATAATATCAGTCTTTAAATGCAA